ACATAAAACCAGTAAATGCAGAATAATCACACAATCAAAGCACAATCATATGAAAAGAAAACAATCAATCACTTAACCTATTAAAATCCGAACTACAATCAAAACCCTAACCCAAAATGGGTTAGTTCATGGCTAAATCAACAACACAAATGAAAGAAACGAAAATATTAAAGTTCAACATAATGAAAATAAAAGAAAAGATAAGAAATCTCTCCAAAATGATGAATCCTTTGGTTTGAAATCGAATCTTAACCCTTGTTCAACCTCACAATTTCTCAAAATGAACTCTAAGAAAATGTAAAATGCTGCTCTAACCCTATTCGACCCCTTCCAAAAAGGCTAAGTGTTTCTTTTATACCTCGCCCAAATTCTCCAGAAAAACACGCACAAAGTAAAACTGTGCGTTTTACAAAATTGAAATTTACGACTGTCGCCGTGGCGAAAAAGAAACATCGCCGCAGCGAAGAAGGAAGCAGATATGGTACGTGACTGGCACACTTTGCCGCGGCGACGTACAAGTCTTCGCCGCGGCGAAGCTTCTTGAAAAGTTTTGAAATTACAGAACTGCCACTCTGCTTGCATCTTCGCTTGATTCTTCGATCCTCGTTGCTTTCCCTTGGGAACAAGCCTCATAGTGCTTTATCCTGCTTGAGAACTCTCCCAACTTCTGAGTCCAGAATTTCCAATTTTGTCCTTATTTGCTCAAAACGACCAATTTAACCTAAAACACGAAATGTAACGAATTAAGCAACAATTCAGGTTAAAATGAACTAGAAAGTACCTGAAATCCGACTAAAAAGTCTAATGAAAATGGTATAATCCACGGATTATCAAAAAGCTAGTGCTTTCAAAGATAGATTACAAATTTATGCTTTAGAGGGTGGAGTTCTGCTATTTATACCCCACTAGACTCCACTCGGTCTCGTTGGCAAAGCCAAATGGGAAACAGAGACTGAAGTAGTGAAAACTGCTTGGGACTATACGGTTGAGTGGAGTGAAGTCTTCATGATAGTTTGATGGTTCAAGTGCTTTAGGAATTGTCTAAGTTGAGCCTTGTTTGGTGAGAGCAGGGTAGTGTCTAGTGGAGAAGTTCTCCATAAATTATTCTTAATGCAATCTAATCATGTGTTGATAGAGTCGATATGAGATGGATAAAGATGAGGAATATGAGAACGCTTTGGCGTATGTGTCAGCCGGGCCGAGTGGAGACAGTCCAAGAGGTAGATGATGTTGGTTGAAGGGAGTTCCGTGTCTCCTCACATGTTGCAAGTCGTTGTTCGCAGATGATTATTAGGGCCCCACAGTGGGTGCCAAATTGTAGATGCAAGAAATCTACCGTTACAGAAATAAGGTCTGATCCCATGAGGTTGAGGCTACTAACAATCAACTGGACCTACACACATGAAGAGACAAGCGTGAAGCTTATGGAAAACATCGGGGTGGTGTTTGCAGTAGGTAGTCCGATGCTCAAATTAGCAAGGTTGAAAGAGAATATTTAATAACAGTTTAAGGAGAAGAAGGATTACCGGGAGTCTTATCGGAGGCCAAGACCACGACGAAGGTGTAGAATTCTCGAGAGCAATAACTTAGGAGTAAGTATGTGATTTTGAGTAGTGGAGATTGAATGAATTATGAAAGGGCAGACCTTTATTTATATAGTGAACCCAAGGGTTGGAATCCTAGTAGGACATTGAGTCCTTCTTCGGGAGATAATCACTATCAGGAAAGAAATAAGATTTTTTGCCCTTATCAGATTAAGTTTACTAGTTTGAGTAAGATTCAAAATCTTAGTAGGAGAGGAAATAGAATAGGATTATGATTTCCTATTTATGGACTGTTGCAGGCTAATGGGTCGGAACCCAATTTAGTTTAACTTGTAGGATAGCCCAACTCATAGAGTAGGCAGTTCATAAGATGACTTTAAATGTAGGCCCAATCAAAATTAGGCTAAAACCTTGGGTTGTGATATGTTTATTTCGTTATTAGGCCTTGTTAGGCCCAAGACGATTTTTTTCCCTTACACTCATGTAATCAAAGGTTTGGATGATTGAGTTTTATTTGTTGGGTTTTTCCCAATTTAAAAAAAAAAAAAAATAGCACCAGCCAAAATTCCAAAACCCAGAAACCCTTAAAATTAATTTCATGTTTGGTGTGCTGTCGCATGCAACCAAAATTAAAAACACATGTAGTAGTGTGAGTAAGGATCGTTCCCACGGAGACTGGGGTGGGTTTAAGTACAGCGGAAACAATTTCAGGAAAAAAAAATTCAGATTAATCAATCAAAATAACAAACCTGGGTCTAAGTCAACATCCACCATCGGAATTTTACAACTGATCATCGATGCAAGTATATATCAATTCATACTTTGTGTATTCACCGTTGGAACTATTTTCCTATCTCTTCTTAGTTGTAGTTAATTAGGAAATAAGCGATCTAATTAATCTTACTACTAAACAACCCTAGACAAGCGCTAAAGGTTCAATCTAGTAACAGCCTTAAGGGCTAGAGAAATCGATGAAGCTGAACAACATAAACACAAGCAGTTGTATTTAATTTAGTTGAATGTTCTTCTTAAGATTTAATAATTCCTAGCACAACATATTCTTAAACCTTAATTACTCACAAGTTAGAGGGATCAAACAATTACGGATTTGATATCTAACTTAGTAGTAGATTTCAACAAATAATAAACTAGTAGGCCTCCTAGTAATTTAATGAAACAATCATGAAAATAGGCATAGAAGAACATTCAATACTCAAAACATATATTGAACACTAAAAAAAATAGATTAGATCTCACAGTTTTATTGATTCCGAGGCCTCCGTTTCCTTCGACCAAGTTATAAAAGTTTGGCCGCTCATGGCCATAATCAAAACTCAAAAGAGAAAATTCCAGAAGAGAGAAAGAGAGGCGTGTGTAATCTCTCTAATCTGATCTCTCTCCCCCTTTAAGAATATCAAATTTAAGTCTTTGAATTCTACTCAATCTCCTAAAAATATTCTAATATCCTAAAATAACATTTATCCTAATTTGATTAATAAAATAAAGTCCTAATATAAAATAAGAAAGTGGTGTTTCCAGCTGTAACTTGTGTGCAACAGGTCTTCAAAACTTCCAATAAAAAACTGCTTAATTGACTTGCATGACAAGGCGGAATGTTCCAGAACGTCAGCAGTGCAGGTGAGTCAATTTCAAGCCCGATTACAACCTTGATGCAGCAAGTATCTCTCCAAACTCAAAACATGAAAGTTGTAGATATATTTCTTAGGGTTCCAAAGTATTTGAATCATCTTAATCGGAGCTCGGATGAGAGAGTTATGCCCAGATTACCAAGTGATGTCGAAACTGTCCGAATTCACCTAATTAGTTTCGTTTTGCATTTAACGCCTCCATTTGCATCCTAAATCAAAATAGAATAATAATGAGTATATTTAGGCAACAAATAAGTATAAAAGACTATATATTAAGGGGGGTAAATATGATATTTTGCATTCTCATCAATGTCCATGCCCCTTAAAAATGTTTTAGAGTTCCTGGATGCTCCTAAAAGTCTTGAGATTATTTAAAAAGGACGTCAATTTTAATTTTTTGTTCTCGTGACAGAAAGAAGTAATCAAATAAAGTGTTGAATCTTTCATAGTTTATAATATTGCAAACCATGTATAAAAAAAAAAAAAAAATACAAGGCCTGCAACTTAATATTAATTAATAATCAAGAACCGGTATGCGGTTGCATGAAGCATTTTTTTGAATTCATTTCTAATTAACTATATATGTTGTATGATAATTAATGAGCAATAGCAAAAAGAAAATGAGTGTTTGGTAAACTATCTTTGAAATCTGAGTTTTAAAAGCTGCATAAAGTGCTGGCTAAATTTTAATTCTAGAGTTGCCATGTGTTTAAATTGAGGAGATCAAAATGAAAGAGTTTGTTTTATAATAATTTATGCTATGCAAGTATATAGAAATTAACATTGCAACTTGAAACGACATTTACATTTATACTATATATTTACTCTTAAAATCTCAACATCTGACTCATCGAGGATAAACGACGATATCACTGCTAACACTAGTAGAATCTTGCACAATACTAACAGGGATGATGCGTCGTTCACTATATCATTTTCACTCAGGATTCCAATGGTGTATACATAAATCAAGAAGTTCAACAAATCCCCTCAAATTCATGAATAAATTGTATGTTAAGATTTGAATTTTAGACATTTAACTCTATATTATACAACTATTTAATCTAAAAACTTAAGCTAATGAAGATAAGAGTCTGATATTAATATTTAAGTTCAACACTTACCTGGAAATTAGACGAAGCTACAACAACAAAGAACAAGTTGATAAAAGTGGAACACTATCAAGACTCGGTCTTTCCACATAAAACGATACCCCCATTGGCAGAAATTTTGCATAGAATTTTAATACATATAATAATGGGAAAAAACATAATTATTAATATTATTTGCTAATTGACTAATTGATACCTAAGTCACTCGGTTTTTCATCTTATCTTATGTCATAATTATTTGCTAATTATTTGGCTTCTTGCTCATATATCACACATTATTATTATTATATTTATTTATTTTTGTTTTTTTTATAATTAAGGTAAAAAATAAATAAATGAGGCAAAATCACTGTACAAAAAACTTATATCACAAACATTTAAATCATCAAAATATACAACATTGGAAAGTGTCTCAGAAACTGAAGATTCATGAGGTATAATATTTGACTACTTCAAGATATAAATTTGTGCAATATTAATGGAGACAATATGTAAAGGAAGGTGGGATCCCGCTATCTATTTCTCAATTAATAGGGTTTAAATAATTATAATAATTTTTGTCAACGACAGGAAAGTTCTTCCTCCATCAAACAATTTGCTTTCAAGCTTGAAGAGATTACTATATAAACCCTCTTCATTCTGTGCTGTTATCATTCAAAACTTGTTCTTCATTAATCTCTAAGAAAGTAAGCAAAATGGCCAACATTTGGCCTCATTTAGTCTATGCATTGGCATTTTGCTTGCTGGCTACTAATTTAGTAGCTGCTGATTACAAGCCTTACACTTATGATTCACCACCTCTGTCGCACTATGTTTATAAGTCGCCGCCACCTTCGGCGTTTGCACCACGTTATTACTATAAGTCGCCAAATCCATATTGGTACAAGTCCTCACCGCCACCTTCTCCATCACTTCCTCCTTACTACTATAAGTCGCCACCACCTCCGAAAAAGTCGCCACCGCCTCCTTATTATTATAAATCGGCTCCACCTCCGAAAGCATCCCCTCCATCCCCATATTATAAGTCGCCACTGCCACCATCTCCGTCCCCTCATCCTCCTTATGTTTATAAATCTCCACCACCACCTTCACCTTCACCTCCTCCCAGTGGCGGACCCATGATTTTTGCCTGGGGGGCCCCGTTACTACGTCACTGTTTATTAATCAACTAGTGAAAACATAAAAAAATAACATCCGATTCACAAGGAAACACAAGAAAATTTTTACGTGGAAAAACCTCTTCAATATGAAGAGATAAAAAAAAAACCACGGGAATCTAACGATCCACTTAAATTCAATATAATCAAAAGAGTTTACAATAACCACAAATCCACCAAAAATATTCTATACAAATTTAGAGCTCAATCACAACTCTAACAAAAGTAAAACACACAAAGGTTTACAAAGAAATGGATTACAATCACTCCAAATCCAGATCCAGACGTTAACATTCTAACTCAACCGTCTAGATTAAAGATCCACACATTCTCTGCGTATTGACCCAAAAATCAAGTTAGAATGTATACCTAAAGATCTAAATAATATGAATATTGATTATATAAAAATGAAAGCAAGTTAGAATAGTACACCTGAAGATATTCAATTAACACGATTTTCTGCTTCATTATGTTCTGAAAATGTTCAATGATATCTTCATTTTGAATTGTAGCAAAAACTTCATTTTCAATGTAAACTACTAAGCAATTGCTCATCCACTCATCTCCCATTCGATTACAAAAAGTATTCTTAATAAGATTCATTGCAGAGAACACCCTTTTAACAGTAGCAAAACTAGTGCTAATTTAATAACACTCTTTCAACTGTCATTTTCTTGCTTATTTTCTTGCAGTTTTCAATATAATTTTAGCATTAATCTTACATATCATCAATCTTAAATATTCTTGTTAAATTACATATTTAACCATCTAAGGAGCTTATTTAAACTTAAAACTTCAATATTTTAGTAGGCTAACCTTTAGGAGACGTGAGTGAGAGAAGTTAAGAGTGAGATTTTTTTAATTTCTGGTTGCAAACTTGCAGGTTGAATATTTTACAGTAAAAGAGAAGTTGGGAATGGGGGGAAGAAAAAGTGGAATATGAAAAAAAGACAAAACCTACTTTTTAATTTTTTTAACTTTTACTTTTTTTTAATCTTGAAAAAACTTAACAAATTTTTTCTAAAAGTTGAAGGCAGGCTTGGGCCTACCCTCAAAGGGGCTGGGTCCGCCCTTGCCTCCTCCACCTTATGTTTACAAGTCACCTCCTTCTCCATCTCCCTCACCAACTCCTTATGTTTATAAAACTCCACCTCCACCATCTCCATCTCCTCCCCTTCCATATGTGTATAAATCACCACCACCTCCTCCTTATGTTTATAAGTCTCCACCACCTCCATCACCATCACCTCCCCCTCCGTACAATAACAAGTCTCCACCACCACCTTCTCCATCACCTCCTCCTCCTCCATATGTCTACAAGTCACCACCACCTCCATCACCATCACCTCCTCCTCCTTATATTTACAAGTCCCTACCACCACCATCTCCCTCTCCCCCTCCTCCGTATGTGTACAAATCTCCTCCACCACCATCCCCATCACCTCCACCTCCATATATCTACAAATCCCCCTCTCCACCACCTCCTCCATATGTTTATAAATCGCCTCCACCTCCATCACCATCACCATCACCATCACCTCCTCCTTCATACATTTACAAGTCTCCACCACCACCTTCTCTGTCGCCTCCACCTCTATACATTTACAAGTCACCTCCTCCTCCATCACCATCGTCGCCTCCTCCTTAAGTCTACAAGTCCCCACCTCCTCCAACTCCATCACCACCACCTTCTTACTATTATAAGTCTCCTCCTCCACCATCTCCTTCACATCCTCCTCCCTACTATTATAAATCACCACCACCACCTTCTCCCTTACCACCGCCACCTTATTACTATAACTCTCCTCCACCTCCCAAGGGTTACTACTAAACATATCACACTTTATTCTCGGACCATGTCTGCTTCATCAATGTGCATTGTTAGCAGACAAATATTGTTCACTTACATATTTTCTTGAGAAAGATTTGTTTATGTTATATGTGAAGCCTTATGCAACATCGTTTTGACTTAAACTAGGACTTCATCCTGATCGTTGGTTTGAAGACAGATCTAACGGCTGAGAATTTTAGTCTGGTCAAACCTATAAAAGCTGAGGTCTTCTCAGTTCGCGAATAACGTTTTTTCTCTCGATTGTAATCTCTCAAAGTTACCAGATTAGGGTTCAAGATTAGGGCTTTGTGTGTGTGTGTAAATCTGCTGATAATCTGTCCATTGAGTCGTGTTTCTTAGTGGGATTGGGAACCTATTGTTGTGTTCTCTGATTTGGGTTGTAGGTTTATCTTTTAGTCTGAAGCTAGGTAAGATCTTGATTAGAAATCTTGTAAAGGGAAGATTGAGTGAGTGTTGTAATCGTTCTTGATCTTAATAGTAAGTGCAGCAAGCATCCATATTCTGGAGCTCAACGTGGACGTAGCTTGTTCAATATTGAACAAGTGAACCACGGTAAATACTATGTGTTGGATCTGTGTTTTGGTTTGCGTTGATTGATTGTTTGGTTGATGTTTGCTTGAATTGAGTTAGGGGAAATTACAACAGTGGTATCAGAGCCGTATTTAGGGTTTCCCATAAATGAATTGAAATTCTAGGGTTTCTTGATTTGGGAATTCTATTTTAGGGTTTCAAAATTTTTAGGGCTTTTCAATTAATTAGTTCTGTGAAAGTCCTAGGGTTCCAAACATAGTTAAATCCCTCTAAAATTCTCAGCAAATCGAGTCAATTAAACACAATCTAGATTTCTTAGGGTTTGGTTCTCTAACTCAAAATTATGAGTGTCACACGCATGGAGAATTCCCAATACGATGGGAAAATAGATTTCAACACCTGGAAAAAGAAAATGAAGGCCTTGTTATCCCACAACAAGGTTGGAATCGCATTGAAGAAAGATGAATCCAAATGGTCAGAAGAGAAGAAAAAGAAAAAGGCAGAAGTGGACGAAGAAGCATACAACTTGATCATTATGAACCTGTCAGACACCGTGCTACGAAAGGTGGATGGCGTGGAATCTCCAATTCCACTCTGGGGTAAACTCAAGTCTCTGTATGCTCTTAAATCTGCCCCTAATTTAGCTTTCTTGAAAGGCGCTTTATTTTCATATAAAATGGACATAGCTAAATCTCTAGATGACAATCTTGATGAATTCCTAAAAATGACCCTAACCCTAAAAGGTACTGACCAAGAACTAGGAGATTCAAGCCTAGCCATGATCCTGTTAAACTCCCTACCAGAAGAATACTTAGTGGTAAAAAATGCCCTTCAGTATAGTGGGACAATACCTAGTGTGGACCTGATTGTCTCTGGACTAAAATCTAGGGAATTAGAATTAAAGATCCAAAAGCGTAATGGTAGCAATTTGTTTGTGAAAGGGAAAGTTGATGTTGGGCAATCTAGTAAAGAGACTGGAAAAAACTATCAGAGAAATGTAGGCCTTAAAAACAAAAAGAACAGTAAAGGAAATGGTAGAACTAAGGGGGAATCTAGGAAGTGCTTTTACTGTAACAAAATAGGGCACCTCAAGAAAATTTGCTATGATTGGATTAAAAAGAACAAACAGACCAGCATTGAAACAAACCTAGCTAGCTCTAGTTGCAACCTAGAAATATCAGAAGCCCTCACCATTTCTAATTCATCCAGAAGCAATGAATGGGTGCTTGATTCAGGCTGTACTTTTCACATGAGCCCTAACAAAGACTGGTTTCAAAGACTTAAAACTGGGGAACAAGAAACTGTATTCATGGGAAATAACCACTCCTGTGAGGTTCAAGGGATATGGGGTATAACCATTCAACTGAATAATGGTAAGTTAGTATTACTAACTAGGGTCAAGTTTATACCTGAACTAAAACATAACCTAATTTCCTTTGGAACCTTAGATGAATTAGGCTGTTCTTATAAGGCTCAAAATGGGTGTATGGAAGTTTACAAGAATGGGAATGTGTTAATGAAAGGGGTTAAGAAAAATGGGCTTTATATCCTGTGTGGGCAGTACTATCCTGAGGTTTCTAATTCTGCTTTACTTTCTACTAACATATCTGCTACTGTTAAATGGCATTTGAGATTAGGCCATATAGGCCAGAATGGTATGAATGCATTGAAACAGCAAGGTTATTTTGGTAGTGATATTATAACTGCTTTAAACTTTTGTGAAACATGTATTCTTGGAAAACAGCATAGAATGAGCTTCCATAAAGGAACTCATCTTGCTACAAACTGTCTAGACTATGTGCATGCAAACCTTTGGGGTCCTGAAAAGGTAAAGTCACATGGAGAGAGCATATACTTCCTCTTCATAGTGGACGATTACAGTAGGAAGGTATGGGTATACCTTCTCAGGTCTAAGGACGAAGCCCTAACCAAGTTCAAAGGTTGGAAAACCTTAGTAGAAACCCAGTTAGATAGAAAAGTCAAAACCCTTAGGACAGATAATGGGTTGGAGTTCTGTAACTTAGAGTTTGACACCTACTACCAAAACCAGGGGTTACAAAGGCATAGAACAGCCAGGGCAACCCCACAACAGAATAGGATTGCAGAGAGGATGAATAGGACTCTCTTAGAAAGGGTCAGGTGCCTTTTGTTCACTGCTGGGTTGCCTAAGATTTTCTAGGGAGAAGCCCTTACCACAGCAGCCTATTTGATCAATAGAAGTCCATCCAGCTCAATAGGTTTCAAATGCCCTAAAGAGAAATGGTCTGGAAGGAAACCCAACCTCAATCACCTTAGGGTCCTTGGGTGTGCAACATATGCACATACCAGAGAGGGTAAGCTTGAACCCAGGTCCCTAAAATGTGTCTTCTTAGGGTACCAGGAAGGTACTAAAGGTTATAGGTTATGGGAGAGAGATGCACCAGGAGTTAGAATCATAATCAGCCATGATGTAGTCTTTAATGAGGTCACATTTCCTTGCAAAGTGTCTACTGACAATGCAGGTAACTCAAGAACAGATCCTGAACTGCTTGACCAAACAGAGAGATCCCAGTTTGAGGTAGAGCCACAGAACCAGATAGAACACTTAGAACAACCTAAAGGCACAGAACCAAAAAACACCACAATACAGAATATTGGGGACCAATATGAAGAAGATAAGCAGCCTGAGAACAATGATGAAGACCTGAATGAGAACCTGGCAGACTACCAGTTGGTTAGAAACAGAGTCAGAGGGGAGATAAGGCCCCCAAACAAATACAGTTATGCAGATTTGATCTACACAGCCCCTGTGGCTGGGGTAGAAACACTAAGATCTGAACCAGAGACATATCAAGAAGCTGTGAGCTCAAAAGACAGTAAAAAGTGGCTGGAAGCCATGAAGGAGGAGATGATATCCCTAAGACAGAACAGAACTTGGACTCTGGTCCCAAAACCTACTGACCATAAACTAATTGACTGCAAATGGCTCTATAAACTGAAAGAAGGCCTAACAAGCTCAGATCCTTCAAGATACAAAGCAAGATTGGTGGCAAAGGGCAGGTATCGATTTTACAGAAATTTTCTCTCTTGTGGTTAAATTTAAAACAATTAGACTTATGCTAGCTGTAGTAACCCATTATGACTTAGAACTAGAACAGTTAGATGTTAAAACTGCGTTTTTACATGGTGAATTGGAAGAGAGAATTTATATGAGTCAACCAATGGGGTTTAGGGATAGAAACCTGCCTGATCATGCCTGTCTTTTGCACAAGTCCATGTATGGACTCAAACAATCCCCTAGGCAATGTTATAAGAGATTTGACTCTTTTATAGTGGGAATCGGGTTTATTAGGAGTGCATATGATAACTGTTTTTATTATGCCTACCTTAAAAATATGCCAATGTATTTACTGTTATACGTAGATGACATGCTGTTAATAAGTAAGTCCAAACCTCATATAGATGAATTAAAAGCAAAATTAAGTGCTAAGTTTGAGATGAAAGATCTAGGGTCTGCAAAAAGAATATTAGGGATGATGATTGATAGGAATAGAAAAGCAAATAGACTGAAACTTCATCAATTTCCATATCTGCAAAAACTGATATCTAGGTTTGGTATGACTGATGCTAAAACTGTAAATTTACCCCTAGCAGGACATTTCACATTAAACAAAATGCAGTCCCCCAAAACTGATGTAGATAGGATTAAAATGGAAAAAATCTCCTACTTTAGTGCCATAGGATCAGTGATGTATTCAATGATAAGCACTAGGTTTGATCTCTCATTTGCAATATCTCTATTAAGTAGGTTTATGTCAAATCCAGGAATAGAGAACTGGGTTTCCTTAAAATGGTTACTTAGATATATTAACACTACAATGCATGTTGGATTAGATTATTACAAAAGAACTTCTGCACTTGATCTTGTTGGGTATGTGGACTCTGATTTTGTAGGAGATCGAGACTCAAGGAAGTCCACCACAACTTACTATTTTACTTTAGGTGGAAATTGCATCAGCTGGAAATCCCAGCTTCAACCATTGGTGGCACTGTCCACAACAGAAGCTGAGTATGTGGCAGTAACTGATGCATTCAAGGAGGCAATATGGCTACAAGGGATTTTGAAAGAGGTAAACTTAATGGATGGCCCTGTGACTGTGTATTCTGACAGTCAAATTGCCATCCATCTAAGCAAAAATCCAGTATACCATGAGAGGACGAAGCATGTGGATGTCAAGTACCATTTTAGATCAAATTTCAAAGGGAACTATGAACCTGCTGAAAATTCCAACTGAAGAAAACCCATTTGATATGGGAACCAAAGTTGTAACTACTGCAAAGTTCAAGCACTGCTTGAACATTCTTCACATCAACTGAATTCAAAGAGCTAAGAAGGAATACGAGAACTGCTTGCTGCACCTACTGGTTACTGTCCAAGGGAAGAATAAGGCTTCAAGGTGGAGATTGTTATATATGAAGCCTTATGCGACATCGTTTTGACTTAAACTGGGACTTCATCCTAATCGTTGGTTTGAAGACAGATCTGACGGCTGAGAATTTTAGTTTGGTCAAACCTATAAAAGTTGAGGTCTTCTCAGTTCGCGAATAACGTTTTTTCTCTCGATTGTAATCTCTCAAAGTTACCAGATTAGGGTTCAAGATTAGGGCTTTGTGTGTGTGTGTAAATCTGCTGATAATCTGTCCATTGAGTCATGTTTCTTAGTGGGATTGGAAACCTGTTGTTGTGTTCTCTGATTTGGGTTGTAGGTTTATCTTTTAGTCTAAAGCCAGGTTAGATCTTGATTAGAAATCTTGTAAAGGAAAGAGTGTTCGAGAGTTGTAATCGTTCTTGATCGTAATAGTAAGTGCAGCGAGCATCCATATTCTGGAGCTCAACGTGGACGTAGCTTGTTCAATATTGAACAAGTGAACCACGGTAAGTACTGCGTGTTGGATCTGTGTTTTGGTTTGCATTGATTGATTGTTTGCTTGATGTTGGCTTGAATTGAGTTAGGGGAAATAACAACAGTTTAATTGAAAGCAATACTTGATTGCCGGTGCTCAAAATATCTTGAAGAAGGCAACTCTATAACTTGTTTGGAGCATTTTACTTTCATTCACTTGTAGTTTTGAGACAGTTTATTTCTATTTTTATTCAATTAATTTCTTAATTATTCAACAAATAGTACTAGAAATTACAATCTCAAATGCGCTCTTAAATTTGTAAGCTCACTTGTTAAGGCATTGTGACAAACAAAATAATGTATGGTGAAAATTCTAACGCTTCAAGCATTCGTATTTTCTTATAATTTGGACAAACGGTTTATTTATTTATTTTATCGTTAATTAATTAATAGTAGTAAACAGTGGTCTAAACAAGAAAGAAAAAATGCAAACATACATATATTAAAGAATTAATGAGTAACAAAATGAAGATATAGTTTAGTTTATATATAATATAAAGGTCAATTTATATATTTAAAACGGTAAAAACCATGTCCTTTTAAATCAATGGTATATAATTAATAATTTTATAAACGTACCGCAAAAGAATCTTAAGTGATCAATTTATCGCATTCCATACCTCGTAACTCTAACAAATAAAAACATGCAAAACCGCCTCTAAACGACTCTGAAGTAGGGGTGAGCACGGGTAGCGGGTAGAACCGGAACCGGGGGTAAGAACCGGAACCGGAACCGGAACCTACCCAGAACCTGCACTGTGCGGGTAGGTTCCGGTTCCAATTTTTTGGAACCGCTACTGTGCGGTTCCGGTTCCGGTTCTTACCCCGGAGGAACCGGAACCAGAACCGGAACCTGTAAAAAGGGTACCCTGTTTGGAACCTGTAGGGGGTACCCTGTTTGGAACCTGTTTTGGAACCTGTTTTGGAACCTGTTTGGAACCTGTTTTTGGAACCTGTTTTGGTTTCGGTTAACCGCTTTTTATTTTTTATTGAACCGGAAATCCAGTTTTTTGAATTTTTTCGAACCGTTTTTTCGGTTAACCGGTTTTTCAATTAGATTCGGTTTGGTTTTTGCATTTTTTTTTTAACACCACTACTTGTAATTAAATGACACAAGAAAAAATATTTTTTGCAACTAGGCAAAAATAGTTGCAAATACCCTACATTTGGTAACTAAATTCCAATCGATCGACTAAAGGGGAATAAAATTCTGGGGCCCATTTATTCTCGCCTTTTGTGTCTAAAATTAATATTCTGCGACTAATTTGATTTATTGTAAAAAATATCACATTAGCGACTAATTTATTTGGTTATCATTTCTTACGCGCGGTAAATTTTCCAGGCATTATAACACAATTGCCAATTGTTACGCACTTCAAGTCATGAGAAACACTAATTTATAGTCATATATATGATCTCAGTTTAATACTGTTTTTTCATTTTATGCAAACCAAAGAAATAGTACTTTTTAAAAAAAAATTAATTAATTGTATTTAAAAAGTAAAGAGGAACAACTTTTAAAAAATAAAATAATTGTATTTAAATTCTCTATCAACGATTCAATATATTCCACTAACAAATGCTATCCTCTAACACCCAATCATATTTAATTGATGACACTTCACCACCTTATTTTATTATCACTATCTACTACATAAATTAAAATGTCCACGTCATCAAAGTTTAGTCCCCACTGTTAAACCTCCGTTACATAACCGTGAGCCGGCAGTTTCCTATAGAAGGATGTGGTGATATCGGAGAAAACAAAGGCATGTTATAAATGCCCTCACCTTCTCCTCCAATACTAGTAGTTTCCCAAAACCCCGTCCAACTTGACGACGTCAATGGAGAAAGGCCTAACTTAACGGTTTCCGTCACCTTTTCTTCGGGCTCCTCTTTCTTTACCACCTGTCTCTTCGTACCCACCATTTCTTCATTTTTCCTCTTTTTCCCACAATTCAAGGGTAATTCAGATTCAATAAAGTTAGAGGTTTCAATCTCAAGAGGAAAGTTCAAGGTCGCTTTGCTTCCTCGGAACCTAAAAGCGGCTTTGTCATAAGCTTTTGCAGCTTCAATGGCAGTGTCAAAGGTTCCTAACCAAACCCGGATCCCTTTTCGGTTGGGGTCACGGATCTCCGCTGCATATTTTCCCCATGGTCGTCTCCTAACTCCTCTGTAATGATTTTCTTTTTCATCCTTCGATTCTCTTTCTGTCTTAATAACTGGGTTAATGTCAGTTTTGGAGCTTGTTTTGATGTTTGTTGGTGGAGGTATTGCGACGTTTATAGATGGTTTTCTCCGACTAAGAGGAGTTGACTGGTAATTTCGGTTGATGAGTGGCTCTTTTGGTTCCAAGTAATCCGAGATGTCGATGTCAAATTGCGGGTGTTGAGGTTGGCTTTGAGACGCAGTGCAAAAATCGAGGTTGGATATGAAGGTTTCCATGGAATTAGTGAAGTCGTTGAGAAGATATTGGCTGATAAACTCTAAAGTTGAAGCGTCATTTGGAGATGCCATTCAAGAGAGTGAGATTTCTAGTGAGTGAGAATTCAAATTGGAAGATGAGGGTTGATGAGAGAGTGAGAAAGAATTTAACTGTATATAAAGGGAAGAATTTCCAGGAGAGATGAGGAGTTTCAATTGAAGTTCTGGGTTGGATCCTGGAAAGCATCATTTGTTGATACGGCACTCCAAGTGGACGAAAGTGCTTGTAAAGATAATGTTTCGCTGTCTGTTTTATTAAAGTTTCAAGTCTTTTTTTCGGTGGGGACTTGGGGGACCAACGGGACCATGCCCACTATAATGTGTTTCCCTGTTTCGTGACTGATTCTAGGGTACTTCGGGCCATCTCCATGCAACATGCCAAGGTTGATTTACTAAAAAGACTGAAGTCGTTCTTGATTGTTAGCAGGGAACAGACCTTCTCAATACAAATCTAATTAATATTCGTGAACAGCACTGCATCTTTGACTTCCTTCTCATTTTCTTGATTTGTACTATTATTGGAACTATTTACCTAAACCCTAAAATGATATGTGTTCTTAGCAATGTTTTAAAAACCAACTAGGGGTAAAACTCGACAAACTGGTGGGGTCCTGGGCTGACCAATTGAACCAGTTCAATCGGTGATGTCATTATGCTGATGCCGGCATAATGACATCAGCCAAACAATTGTTTACAGTCTAGAATTCCAGAATCCAAATCACAAATTCTTGAATAAAAAATCTTTAACAAAGCATCATCAAACATCATTACATCAATACAATCCCTACTGCAACTAATTACAAATCAAAATTCATGAAGAAATCACATAATAATTAATAAACATTTTAGCAAAAAATGATATTCTTCACCCAATGGTCTTCAATCCATCCTCAATTGAACTTTATAATTCACACACCATCTGACAGATGATGATTATCATTATTAACATCAACAACATCATCTACAAAAAATTCCAACAAAAAAGGAAAACCATAATTTGAATCTTCCCATTTAAACTAATCAAATTTAAACTAGGGGTGAGCACGGGTAACGGGTAGAACCGGAACCGGGGGTAAGAACCGGAACCGAAACCGGAACCTACCCAGAACTGGGGGTAGGTTCCGGTTCCAATTTTTTGGAACCACTACTGTGCGGTTCCGGTTCCCGTTCCAGTTCCGGTTCCGGTTCCAGTTCCAGTTCCGGTTCCAGTTCTTGCATGTGGAGGAACCGGAACCTGTAAAAAGGGTACCTTGTTTGGAACCTGTAGGGGGTACCCGGTTTGGAACCTGTTTTGGAACCTGTTTGGAACCTGTTTTGTAACCTATTTGGAACCTGTTTTTGAACCTTTTTTGGAACCTGTTTTTTGAACCTGTTTAGAACCTATTTTGGAACCTGAACTATAATGAAATATTTGTGAAATGTAAATAATGGGGGAGTTTCTATTATTTTACATATAAAAAAATTTAAAATAGAAAAAGTTAAATTTTTAGAATAACCTAATTAAATAAATATACGAATACAATTATACTTATTACATATAAATTACACCATATTAAAAGCTTTAATATATTATAATACATTAATATTAAAGTTTTGATCAATTAAGTGAATAATTGGAATTATGATCCAATTAAAAGTGTTTTACATTTTTAATGTTATTAAAAGAATTATTTTTGAATAAAATAGTATATTTGATTGAGTAATAATATATTTAGTTATTTACTTCAATTATCAAGTTCTAAGTATATCTATAATAAATTAGTAATTAATTAATTATATATGATAAATTGATAAACATTAATAAATTTAATTACTAGTTAAATATCATACTTAATCAATTATAACATTACATTATAGTTAAATGATTACTTAATTAATTATAATTTTATAACATTACTTAATTGATTTATAGTATAATTAATTATAGCATTACATTAATTGATTACTACTTAATTAATTGACTTTTAAGTTATAACATAATTAAATAGTTAATTAATTGACTTATAATTAGAAATTTAATTAATTATAGCATTACGTTATAGATTTATAGTATAATTACTTAATCAATTATAACATTTTATTATAAACATTAGTACAAACTTAATTAAATGATTAAAAATTTAATTAATTATAATATTACATTAAAAATTTATAGTATGATTACTTAATAGTTAATTCACTATAACATTACATTATAGTATGATTATATAATTAATTATAACATTACATAATTAAATAATTACTTAATTGATTATGTCATTATATTATAAATATTAGTAATTACTAATTTACTACATAAACATTAGCACAATACTTAATTAAATGATAAGAAATTTAATTAATTATAACATTACCTTATAAACATTTCATTATAAACATTAATTAAGCATTACATTATAGTTAAATAATTACTCAATTAAATTATAATATTATTATATTACATTATATATTATGATCACTTACTTAATTATAGCATTACATAGTTAAATGATTACATAATTACATAATTAGTTATGAATTTATAACATTACATTATAAACATTAGTAATTTACTATATTATTACATTACTTAATTAAACGATTAAAAATTTAATTAATTATAACATTACCTTATATATTTATAATATGATTACTTAATCAATTATAACATTCCATTATAAACATTAGTATATTAATCAAATGATTTGAAATTTAATTAATTATAATATTAAATTATAGATTTATAGTATGATTACTTAATTCATTATAACATTACATTATACTATTATAGTATGATCATATAATTAATATAACATTACATAATTAAATGATTACTTAATTGATTATGACATTATATTATAAACATTAGTAATTTACTAATTTACACAATACTTAATCAAATTATTATAACATTATATTATAAATTTATGGTATGATTATTTAATTAATTATAACATTCTATTATAAACAATATTACAGTACTTAATTAAATGATTAACAGTTCAAGTGTTGCTTAGAGATTACAGGTTATGAGTTACATTGGACACAAATGAATGAATAATGAAAATTAGTTAGGGGTGCTTTTGTTATTTTTTAAACTAATAGGGGGGTAATTGATTTTTTATAGGGTACCCTGGAAAGGAACCGGAACCTGCATTTTAGGTTCCGATTCCTTGAATTGAAGAACCTGCACTGTGCGGTTCCGGTTCCGGTTCCGATTCCTTTTTTTGGGAACCTGCACTGTACGGTTCCAGTTCCGGTTCCCCCGGAAAATGCAGGGTACCCGGAACCGCTCACCCCTAATTTAAACTAGCTACTACCAAATTCAAATTACTTAAAAAATTGGAACCTTTTGAAATATCTATTGAGTCATAGTAAGAAGGGTGATCACCACCATCTACAAGAATATATCATTCTTCATATAATGATTGTTTCAGTTCATCATAATTAAGTTCACCAACCTCCTCTTTTGCATCAACTATCCAAGATTCAGTTTTATCAATACTTTTATAATCAATAGGATCAAAAGTAATTTTCTTGTAACAACTCCTGAAAGACCAGAATTAAATATTAAAATCACGACCAATAAAGACATCCAATGAAAATAAAATAAGAGATAATAATTAATAAGAAAAATGATGAAGGCTTTATACATACTTTGCAAATGCAAGTTATAATGAGTGAAAACCAGATCATTCAACCATTGATGCTCTGCTCCTCTTTTTAGTATGTATGCGTTCAAAAACACTCTAGTTTCGCTTACATCCTAAAGAGACTGAAGTTTGACTTAGATTTTGATTGCAAACTTTTGCAAATTTGGAGCACTAAACCTAAATGTCCTCCACCATTAATCTAATTAAGAATAGAACATAAGAAATAAACACAATTTCATAATTGAAAAATTAGACTTAAAAATTTAATAACTATTACATACTAGACGTGTAGTTTTGCAAGTTTGAAGAGCAAGCTCACGAGAAAAGCTTTCTAGACGGTCTCGATATAATATACTTTCCTCCGGTAACATTGTCTTTTTTATTTTGAACGCACTTGCTTTACTCTCAATAGTGTCAAGGAAACCATACATGACCTCTGGTTTTTCAGAAAAAGTATCTTTGCCATATTTAAAAGCAAAATTCAAATAATAACTGCTATATGAATATCATGGCGCAACATCCCATCCCAGCGTATCTTAATAATTGTTGTATAAGGCTTGTACAAACTTTTTTTATTCTTAAACAACTTCTTGATCCCCATCCTCATTCTGTACATGCCATCATACACATATCCTATTGAAGGTCTCTCATCTAAGTCTACAATCTGAAGCATACGCGTTAATGGACTCACAACTTTGGAAATTATACCAATATCATCCCAAAATCGGTTATCTAGAACTATGGAAATAAATGTTTTGCCTTTATTAGTTTCTGCATATCGAGACTCCTCAAAAACTCTATTTGTTACCGTAGATTGCAAGTCATGTTTGTGCTGATGTAGCCTGCTCAATACAATGAAAGTTGTGGCCAAACAAGTTGCGCCTAGACTTACAATTTCTGTCCAACCTTATTCAAGTGATAGACAGTAGATGTTAATACTTAGTAAATTATAAAAAAAAAAATGTATATATATATAATATGACTTAACAATGTATATTATATACATATGAGGTAAAAGTATATAACATATCTTTTCCTCAACAAACTATCACAAATGTATGATTATATACAAACTTTGTAACCTCATAACGTCTCGAAAGATTAACTATGTAATTCATCTCAGCTATGTCATCAAATTAATGCAATTTGTTGCATAGGGAGACCAAGTAATACTGCTATATTTTTCACATAATATTCTTCTAGTAGCTTTATAATTTGCTCCATTGTTAGTAACAAGATGGACAATATTGTTTTGTCCAACCCATAAAGTTATTTCCTCAAACAAGTTGAACAACGTTCCAGCATCCTTTACAATATCTGAAGCATCCACTGATTTCACAAAACAAACTCCTTTAGGACAAGATAGTAAAAAATTAATCAGTGACCTATATGAATTATTTGTCCAACCATCAGCCATTATATATAGTACATCCAACATCCCCCCAAGTTTTCTTGTAACCATCAATAAGTAATTGCATTTCTTTCTTAGCATCTCTCAATAAATTTACA